AAAACATGCTTAAAATCTACTTGAAGGTGCTTAAAATGTGCTTAAAACATACCTTTTTTAATAATGAACAAAATTAATTATGTTTTAAGTAACCTTTCAAGTGCAACAGGAAATTTTTTCTGACACGGATTTACATAATTATTACACTATTTACGTAAGTTTATGGCGGGTCCTGTAATATTATGCAAAAATCATACAAAAATTATGCAATTACTACATCGAGTGTAAATATTACATAATTTTTTATGCAAATATTACAACTTTACATATTAAAATTTATGGATGTAATATTATGGCAGGGAAAATTTCCTGATGTGTATTTTAAGTGTATTTCAAGTATGCTAGTTTACCATCAAAAGTATATTTTAAGTATGTTTTAAGTATATAGTATATTTTAAGTGTGTTTTGAGTATAATTTCATATACTTAAAACATACTTAAAACTCACTTAAAATGTTCTTGTTCTCTTCCATCAGTATATTTTAAGTATATGATGTATATTTTAAGTGCATTTTAAGTATCTAAACTTTGTGTAGGGAGTCAAATTCATTACATATAATAAATTTTTTGTCATTAGTTATAATAGGGTTAAATTATCATTAGTAGGGTAAATTAATTTAGTGTTAGGGTCATCTGTGGGTCAAATTATATACATCAAAAAAGTTGATTAGGTTTAATAGGGTCAAATCTATTAGTTGCACAAAATTTTTAATATTTTTTAAAGTTTAAGGGTGGAGTGATCGATAATCGTGTAGTTATCCACAAAAAATACCCGCAAATTTCGTGAAACCTCAGAATATCCAATTTTTATTGTTGGGTTGGGTGCGTGTTATCCTTATTTAGAAATCGATTGGTGATTGCAGATATTTTTTGTAGAGGATAACTACATGATAATGAGTGATTGACCATATATTTTTATTTAATAAGAAATGATCAAAATAATTTTTGAGAGTAACATCATGTTTTATTTCACTTTGAAGGTTAATAAAATAAAAAAACTACAAATAAGATTTATAAATATATATTTCAAGGTTTTCTCTTCATTTCAGTCCAAAAAAACCAACATGCATTTTGTAGGTTACTGATAAAATGCCTTTAAAAAAATAATAACTCTTGCGAATGAGTAAAGCTCCGAACGGTTCGGTTCGGTTTTTCGGTTTACATTTGAACCAAAAATCTCAGGTATCCTAATTTCGTTAACTATGCAAAAATAAACATAACATAATAACTTATAATGACTTGTGGCTGAATGTGCGTTGCGAAGTAAAAATGCTGGAAGGATCCTGTTTCTATATACGTGAAATTATAAAGGATTTTAGACATTTAAAAATCCGTTATAATAATAATAACAAATTTATTAGTCACGTTATAACGGATTTCAAAAATGTTAAAAGTCGTTATAACATATATTTAATTAGGTTACACTTCGTTATAACAAGGTTTGACTATGGTAACAAAGATCCATTTACAAATTATTTATCGTTGTAGTATAGTAAATATATAGTTCACTCTCTATAATGGACCATTTGGTTTATGAAAAAATGTCCATTAGCAAT